AATGTCCATAAGGACCACATAGAATTCCTTAAGAATCATATACATATGCTAGGGATCAAGTATGTGTCTTTCAAGACTTCACACATGTTCCACAGAATATATATATATATCCCGAAGGACCGCGTAGAATTGCACCGTAGTGCCATATAATGATGTCCATAAGGACCACATAGAATTCCTTAAGAATCATATACATATGCTAGGGATCATATATGTGTCTCACCAGACTTCACACATGTTCCAAAGAATATATATATATCCCGAAGGACCGCGTAGACCCTCGACTCTTGGCATGCCAACTATACCCCTAGCTCTCATGACACATAACATGGGCGTTATCATTTATTTCATTTCAGATATTCACATAAACTTGTAATTCACTTTCACATATCACGTATCACGTAGCTTCTTTTCATATTATCACATAGTCACGTAGTTCACTTACACGTAGATCATTTCCATATAATTCACATGTCACATATATCATGGTTTCATATAATTTCTATCATTTCTCACCCAATCACCTTTATTCATGTAAACATACTTATCATATCTTGTTCACATAAGATCATATACTTCATATAATATATCGAAACACCTAGAACACTTTCACGTAGCTTATAGTCATAGGTCTTATCTCATAACATATACTTGTTTTCACATATATATTTCATATCATTTCTTATACCATCACATAATTCATTTAACATACATAACATATTATGTAACATTATAATAGAAATACCTATAAGTCATATCACTTAGAGCACACATATATACTTATAGTCACATTGCTTATATCTTAATCTTATGCCTTCTCTTAGACATATATATATATATATATATATATATATATATATATATATATATATCACATGTTCAGGTAATCCACCATTTCATCACATAATTATGTATTCATATAACTCATTTCATTTCATATCCATCTATATAAATATATATTCTCAAGATTTATCCTAATATAAATCATATAGCACTCTTATAATTCATATTCATATTCATCTAGGGCAGACTTATAAACACATCTCACTTCTATTATTTCTTTATATATATATCTATAATCTAATCTGTTTACTTAATTCAATTTCATATAACTCCTATAATCTTCTCATATAACTTCATAAATTTCTATCATACAACCCCTGTGTTATAGTTTTATTTAAACATATGAATCTTTCCCATCTAGCTTATCTTATATGTTCATCTTATCATTTATGTTCAAATCTCCTAGTTAGTGTACTATTCTCACTTCATCCTATAGATCAATATTATCCAGCTTATTTCACTTATCATATAATAATAATTATATTTTACTATGATCACATAGTTTATATCTCATATAATTCATAACCTTTCTTATGTAATTACTTATACTTTCTCACCTAACACATAAAAGAACAGATCAATCCATATAATCAAGCATACATACATGCATATTCAATTCATGCCTTTAATCATGCATTCATGTGTAACACTTCAGGAAATAGACTCATCGCAAGTCTTATTCCCATCGCACATCATATACTATTGAATATGCACTCACCTGGGCCTCGTTGTTTGAATCAATCCTAATCCTTAGTTTGTTCCGGAACAAGCTTTCATTCTATATCTACATAATAATACATTAATACTTATCAGTATATTGATTGATATATTCGAAACTATCACTCCTTAGTCTCAAAGAAAATCCAATTTCATCTTTTAATGAAGGTATGCATCGATGCACTACACCATGCATCGATGCATAAATCCTATTCGATGTTTGTATTTAATGGGGATGCATCGATGCACTCCTTATGCATCGATGCATAAATCCTATTCGATGTTTTCTATTTAAATTCATGCATCGATGCACTGCATGTGCATCGATGCACCTTAAACAAATTTCTGGTATTTATCATCGATGCATCGGTGCACAATGAATGTGCATCGATGCACATTGCCCAGAACTGACATTTTAGCATGTAAATCATCAACTCTTCCCTTAATTCTCCTATTTTAAGCCCCTATTTTGACATTAAACTCAACTACTATAACTTGAACCAACTTATATCCATGTAAATCATCTTTAACCTCAAAATCCTATCTTCTTTATGAGATTCAAGAATCATACCAAATTTTCTATATGTTCTAAATCCAATTCTAACACTTAATACTTCTTAATTAAGCTGATGACAAGTCAAATCCAACTTTAGAACTTCAAAAACTTTTCTATAACAAAAGTTCATTTATAAACCCTTAATAGAAATTCCTTTCTAATTCTATCTCTTTGGTGTTTTAAGCTTATATAAGCTTTCCTTAAGCTTTTATAACCCTCCAAGACTCAAATCCAACTTAAAACTTTCAAGAAATCATAAGCTAAATCAAACTTACCTTTTCTCTTGGCTTCCACGTGAAGAAGAAGAAGAAAGGAGAAGAGAATTCTGGAGAATTCTCTCCCTCTCCACGTGTATATAATTCCCTTTTTTTTCTTAAATGATCAAATGACCATTTTACCCTTTATTTCCTTTAATAATTACTTAATAACCTTCATCATATTTCCAAGAAGTCATTGAACTATTCCATTATCCTACTTTAGTCACCAAATTCTGAAACTTTACAATTTGGTCACTAACCCGGTAATGCGGATGTTACATTGTGGGTTGGGTTAAGGGTTTAAAGTTTGTGATTTAGAGTTTTAATCTAGATTTAGAGTTTATGATTTAGAGTTTTAATCTAGATTTAGAGTTTAAGGTTTAGGTTTTAAGATGATATAATTAAACAACTTCGAGCGCTAAATCGATGTAAAAATATGATAGAGGGAATATAATAAATTGGAATTGGATCTACTACATAAGCACAAGTAACCCTCAAACTAATAATTTACTTAAAAATCAGTAATTTTAATTGAGTTTTAATAAATTTTCAACCTTAGTGTAACATTTCGAATCCATTTTTTCTGTAGTTTGACACTTACTTTTTCTTAGTTTTATTTGACAAATTTAAATATAAGTTTCGATGAGATTATAATAAATTTTAAGCCTAATTCTGTGATTAGGTACACGAATCTTATTTAAGAGGTATTCGGATCAATTTACGTTTGTGAACGTTCGGTTATGTTCGTTCGGTTATGTTCGTTTATGTTCGTTCAGTTATGTTCGTTCGATTATGTTCATTTATGTTCATTCATTTATGTTTAACTCAATCTTCTTAAATCAATTTTGGTGACCAATTTGTAAGTATCTTAAAAATATTAATTAATCTGATATTTTGATGACAAACTCCATAATTAACCCAATTTTATTTGGAGATTAAATCCAATATGTTAATCCGTGAGACACCTCGCACCTATATTCATTTTCCCATTTTTTCCCAAACCCTAATGTTCACTGGAGAGTAGAGATGATCACTGAAAGCTTCAAAACAAGTTATATTATAGTGCAATCTAAAGTTTACAGGTCTGTTTTCATCTCTTTCTCTGTTTTATTTGGTTTAATAGTTAATATGTAAAGTTATTGTGGGTATCTTCACATCTAAAACTCAAGAAAATATTATACTTCTTTCTAGAAATAGATGGGAAGATAAAGGTAACAATCAGAAGTATATGAGCATCAGTAAAGAGAAAAATATAATAGAATTTGCTAGAAAACAAAACAAAGGTTTCTATGTAATTTATGAAAAATAGTGTAATAGAGGAAGTAATGGGTTTTCAGGAAGAACCCATTAATAAGTAGAAAATACACTTTGACAATGAACTTTTGTTTTCATAGTTCTTGTGTGACATTTAATTGTGGAGTAGACTTTAGGTATGTAAAATTTTGAATGGTGGTTTAGCAATAATATCAGTTACAATATGTAGCATCGAAGAGATTTTGGATCTATGTTATTGCCTTGTAGTCCAATTTGTACCGTTTGAAATCTTCATGCTGTTAAATTTTCTACTCTGCCAACGGAAAGGACAATTATTAACAAACCTCACTAAAGTCTGACATTGATATCACAAAAGTTTTAGCCGGCAAATTTATTAGAATAACGTAGATTTGGTTGATTTGCATTGTCAACTATTTTTCATGAAAGAACAATGGAAGGTAGGGTCTCCAACGTTTATGTTCGTGTTCATTTATGTTCGTGTTCGTTTATGTTCGTGTTCGTTTATGTTCGTGTTCTTTTATGTTCGTTTATTTATTAAAAGAACGAACATGAACAAGTTATATTCCTTAATAAACGAACATGAACAAAAAAAATTTGTTCGTTTATGTTCGTGTTCGTTTATATTCGTTTATTTATTAAATGAATGAACATGAACATACCTCTGTTCGTGTGCGTTCGGTTCGTTTACAGGCCTACATTTTATTAATTTGACTTTTATTATTTTTAAGTTAAATTTGACCATTGACTTTCTAAAGAAGGTTGAATTTAAATTATTAATTTTAGAATTATCGATTAAAACATTAGAATTTAAATTTATAGTGGGTATCTATGGATGTAGACGAGTTTGATAAATAGTTCATAAATAATTTTGTTTCTCTTTGTTTATTGAATTAGTTAAATGAACGTAAACACGAATTTAAAACTCGTTTTTTTAATTGAATCGTACTTGAATAAAAACATGTTAGATTTATTTATATTAAAGAATAAATTCGTTTATATTTATTTTAAATTTTTATTTATTTATTGTATAATAATATTAGCATTATTTGTATGTGTATTTTATTTGTATTACTATTTTTAACATTTATTTAATTATTATTTTTGGATAATTTCTTTTCATTACTCAAGAAAGCAGAAATCTGCTATAGTTTACAGACTACAATAAAATAGGGATAACATAATCAGCAACCAGCTAAGTATAGACAGCTAACACTATAGGAGTAGCAGAGGAACTGAAACTCCCACTAGGTAATGCCCCGACTAGCACAAAGAGTTGAATTTCATGGGTCAGATTTGTCGATACTTCTTCCCGCCATCCGAATCCGAACGACTATTTTGATATCCTACAGTAGCTAATCCACTGGTCGAGCTCTACCCCCATAGGGTCTGCTATTTCTTTCCGTCCAAATGCTATAGACATGACCTGCCCAAGCAAGCCGAAATATTCTCACAATGAGAGACTTGCCCTTAAGGCAATAGATTGCCCAAGCCAATTCGCTATCCCATCCACTAACACCTCTATACAAACCACACAAAGCAAGAATAGCTCCCCATAAGTCCTTTGTAAAATTACAGCCAAAGAACAGATGGTCTCTGCACTCAGCCACAACACCACACATAAGACATTTATCATTCTCAATATTTAAGCCCATTCTAAGAAGCCTAACACGAGTAGGGAGACGATTAAGAATGGACATCCACACTATAATGTTGTGCTTAGGGATACGCCCAGGGAACCAGACAAGATGCTGCCAAGAGACTTTGGGGGTACTAATGTGCATGTCATCCCAAATACTTCTAATACTCAGGCTTTGAATCGGGCCAGAAAAGAGATGAAGAACAGTAGGTCTGATTCTCAAAATGTACTTGAATGACCAATTTACATTTGTAGGAATACTCATCTGCCAGAAGTCAACATTCTCGATCACATAGGCACGCATCCAGGCCACCCAAAGAGAGCCATCATTGGCTAATAATTTTTTGATAAGATGAACAATGCATGCTTTATTCCATTCTCCTACATCTTGAACCCCCAGGCCACCTTCCAACTTTATTTAACAAATTTTCTTCCAGCTGACACGAGCGCCTCTTGCAGGTAAGTCATACCCTTTCCAAAAGAATCTGGAACATAGCTTCTTGATGGAATTGATTATCTCCTTAGGAAGAATAAGATGCCTGCACTAGAAACTAGCCATGCTGAACAGAATAGCACAGATCAATTGTAGCCTCCTTGCAAAACTAAGGTGCTTGTTAGCCCACAAATTCAGCTTTGCCCTGATCTTATCAATTAAGCTTTGGCAGTCCTTCACAATGATTTTTCTGGTTACCAGTGGAACTCCCATGTATCGAACAGGAAGATTACCCAGTTTAAAACATGTTATCTTCTTGATGGTAGCACATTGCTCAGCAGAAATCCCAGCATAGAATATTTCACATTTACTAGCATTTAGTTTTAACCCAGACATGGAGTAGAAAGAATATAAAGTAGCTTGTACACCAATTACAGAGTCCAAAGAGCCTTTGCAGAATATAAGCAAATCATCAGCGAAGCAAAGGTGAGTGAGCCCAACCATTTTACACTTAGGATGGTAGTTAAACACTCCCTTCTTAGTAGCTATGTTGAGAAGGCTAGATAAAATATTCATGGCTAAGACAAAAATATATGGTGAAAGGGGATCACCCTACCGAACACCCCGAGCTCCCTTGAAATAGCTAACTAGGCTACCATTGAATATAATGGAGTAGCTAGGATTAGTGATACAAGCCAAGATCCAGCCTATGAATTTCTAAGGTAATCCAAGAGCGTGCAAAACAATTCTCACAAATTCCCAGCTTAAGGAATCGAAAGCCTTATGTAAATAATTTTTTAGGGCACATATTGGAGAAGCTTTCTTTCTAGAATAACCCCTAACAAGGAAAGCCCATATACCAGCGGAGCCCAACACTCAGCTGAACCATCAGCTAAACTTGGACCAGTCCAGACCCGACCCAAATCGGTCTAGAGATAACCCGAATCAGTTAGGGTTTTAAAACCCTAGCCTTTCATCCCCTTTTCTTTCCTCAGTGTTGTGCCTCTATCAGCAAACCGCCGGGAAGAGAGAGGACTCTTGGAGAGTCCCCATTCCAGCAGTCATAACCCACTTCCCCGAGAAATCCGACGCACAACCAAGTCAAAAAAAAAATAGAAAAGAAAATCAGTTCAATTAGGAGTCTAATCTTACAAAAAATAGTGTGTTTGTAAATCTATAAATTCATGCAACATAGAACGATGGAAGGGGAACATGTTGGGAACAAAAACGCCGAACAAAATCAAAGAAGCGAAGAAGTAAAAAATAGGAACCCCAACAACCATTCGAAAAGAAAAATAGAAAGCAAACGAGAGGAGAAGAGAAGAAACTTACCCCATTGTCACCGAGAAAGCCAAACGTCGCTAGAAACAACCATTTAACCGAAGGTAAAACACCTAGATCTAGGGATTTTAGTGGATTTTTATGAGGAAATGAGCTCGGATTTGGGAATAGAAAAAAAGGCTTCGATTTGGGTTCATTTTTGAATTTCGGCCACCAATGACGGTGGCCGACAGCGACGGGAACAGTCCACGTACGACGGCCGGCCTGATGGCCAATTTCCCTCTGGTGAGGGATTTTAGAGAGAAGTCAAAGAGAATTATCTCCTCTCTCTTTTAATGAGAGAAAAAAAATGAGAAATGAAGGCTTTGGGCCATTTAGAGGCCGGTTAAAGGGTATAAATATCCCTCCCCATACGAGGTCATTTTGGGGAGGGGGTTTCTGTATTTGAATCTATGGGTAAATCATTCCTGCAATCCTTGTATTTTATAATATTTACGATTTTGTCACTAAATTTGATTTCCATGATGTTGACTTGGATTTCAAATTTTATTATGTTTACATTTTAGTCACTAATTTATGTTTATTATTTGCTGATGTTTGAATATGGCCTAGGAATTTATACATGTTTTATTTTGGCCACTAATGTAAATTATTTTCTTTTATTTTGGTCTTTTAATTTTGAAATAATTTCATTTTAATCAATAATTTTTTGTATTCGGTGTTTTATTTAATTACCGTGTGATTCTTTAACATTTTTTCCTTTTGTCTTATAAATAAAAAATTATTATTGTTATTACTTCATAAATTTTCATATTTTCATATTTTCCTTTTTCCTTTTTATTTCTTTTATATATTAACATTTTCTTAAATATCTTCATTTTAACATTTTCTTGATTTTTACTTATGACATTATTTCACCTTATTATTATTATTTTTATCTTAAAATTTTTTATTTTTAATTTAACCTTCTAATTTTTTTTCTTTTTGTTTAGCATTCAATATTTTATTTTACCATCTAACATTTTGTTTGATCTTTTTCAGTAGTACTTTCAATCGATAAAAAGGAAAGTAATTCGAATTGAATTTTTAAATTTCAATTTTCGCAACTAAGACAACTGGCAAATTAAATGGTACCAAAATGGCAGTTCAAGGGTGTTAATCCTTCCTTGACTATAACCGACTCCCGAATCCGATATACATTTGGTAAAACGCAAATCAGGTAAGATGGTGTCCGATCAACCTAAATATTGTTTTTAAATGATCAGTGGCGGCTCTAACACTTTTATTTCAAGTCGAAGCCCAATTCCGGGCTTACCCGAAAGACGGCTGCGACAACATGTTAAATTATATGCATCTAGATAGGTTTATTTAATAATTGTGAACATGCTAAATTAAGTTAAATAAACAAATATCAAAAAGAGAAAATAACCTCATTGACCAAAAATGCTTTATAATATACGATTTTAACCAACTTTTTTTGGATTTGCCAAAATGACCAACTAAATCGCAATGCGATCGATAATTCGCAACGCGATCTCCGGTATCGCAAATCAGTTTCCAGATTCGCAACGCGAACTTCGACTATCGCAATGCGAACTTCGACTATCGCAATATGAACTTGGACTATCGCAATGCGAATATGTAAATCGCAATGCGATAGTCGACTATCGCAATACAAACTTGGACTATCGCAACGCGAACTTCGACTATCTCAATGCGAACATGGACTATCGCAATGCGAATATGTAAATCGCAATGCGATAGTCGACTATCGCAATGCGAATATGTAAATCGCAATGCGATAGTCGAAGTTTGTGTTGCGATAGTCGAAGTTTGTGTTGCGATAGTCCAAGTTCGCATTGCGATAGTCGACTATCGCATTGCGATTTACATATTCGCATTGCGATAGTCGAAGTTCGCGTTGCGATTTATTCCAAATTCATTGCGATAGTCCAAAATCGCAACGACTGGTGGTATTGCATTTGTTTCTTAAGAATTTTCTCTAAAAAGATAGTATTCGCGCGGACGTGTCGAAGACACGTATTACTATTACCACGACCACGACCACGACCACGACCACGACCACGACCCGACCCGAGACGAGACAAACGGCGGCGGTGGCGGCGCGCGAGAGTCCCCCTTGTTCTCTATCACTCAACAAGGAAGTGGGAAAGCCAAGCCTTAAATACCATTCCCAATAGTATTTCCAATACTATGTGGGATTGAGCATTACCAACACTTGTTTCCAATACAATGTGATTATTCAGGAAACAATTAACAATCATGCACCTTAAAACAACTGAATCAGCAACCAATTGCATTAGTATTATACGATTAAATATGTCATAATTAAAAGTCAATCTACAATCAATCGCTAATTGCAATTTTAAGCAAAACATTCAAAAATAATATCACTATATAAGGCTCAATCCCACATAGTATTGGGAACAAGTGTTGGTAATGCTCAATCCCACATAGTATTGGAAACACTATTGTGAATGGTATTTAAGGCTTGGCTTTCCCACTTCCTTGTTGAGTGATAGAGAAAAAGGGGGACTCTCGCGCGCCGCTGCCGTCCGTCTCGTCTCGTCTCGGGTCGGGTCGGGTCGTGGTCGTGGTAATAGTAATACGTGTCTTCGACACGTCCTCGCGAATACTATCTTTTTACATATTCGCATTGAGATAGTCCAAGTTCGCATTGCGATAGTCGAAGTTCGCGTTGCGATAGTCCAAGTTCACGTTGCGATAGTCGACTATCGCATTGCGATTTACATATTCGCATTGCGATAGTCGAAGTTCGCATTGCGATAGTCAAAGTTCGCATTGCGATAGTCGAAGTTCGTGTTGCGAATCTGGAAACTGATTTGCGATACCGGAGATCACGTTGCGAATTATCGATCGCATTGCGATTTAGTTGGTCATTTTGGCAAATCCAAAAAAAGTTGGTTAAAATCGTATATTATAAGGCATTTTTTTGTCACTGAGGTTATTTTCTCTATCAAAAATTATAATTTCAAACAAATAAATAGAAACATAATTTTAAATTTTTTAACAAGTATCAATCTGGTATAAATATTTTTTTTAAAAATAAAGATTTAATAAAATATGTTAAAGTTAAAGAATGATTATAAATGCATGTGTAAAAGATAATAATATAGATGGATGATATTATGAAGCTATATTAAAAATTTAGAAACTCAATAAAAAAAATATAATACCTAAATTATAAGGTAAAGTATACAAATGATCCTTACTATATGACATTGTATTGTTGAGTCTCATGACTATTAAAAGTTACAAAATGGTTCCCCGGTTATAAGACGTTGTATTGTTGAGTCACTCGACTATTAAAAGTTATAAAATGATTACCCAATTATTCATATGTTCCAAAATCTTTCTTTTTCGTTAAAAAATAACCCTCGTCTGAGCTAGGCATTATCTTGCTGACTGAGATATGATAAAATCATATTTTAAAGATGTCTACCTCTATTGCTCTCAAGCACTGAGTCGTCAATATAATTTTTCAAGAACTGGCTTGACAACATAATGTAAACGGAGATTCTAACCATAAAATTCAACTAAGATGATTTCGGGATCAAATTTTATCATATTTCAACCAACAAGTTGAGGTTCATCTCAGAAGGCCGTCAATTTTTTATTATAAAAGGAAGAGTTTGGAATATATGAATAGTCAGGTAACCATTTTGTATTTTTAATTGTCGGAGGACTCAACAAAACGACACCTTGTAATCTGGGGACTATTTTGTAACTTTTAATAACCATGGGACTCAACAAAGCAATAACTTATATTAGAGGACCATTTGTGCACTCTACCCTAAATTATATGAGAACTTAAAAATTTTAAGATACAATCGTACCCAACATTAGAGGTGTTCAAAGTTTGGTTTTAACTGAATTAACCGATCAAACTGAAGTTTTTCAGTTAATCAGTCGATTAATTTTTATTTGGTCGATTATCGATTAAGATTTTTTTTCAAACTTTGATTATCGGTTAATTCAGTTCAAAATCGGTTAATTAACCTAATTAACTGAACTTTTAAATATTTAATATATTATATATATTATTTAGCCTTAGGAATGTTTAAACGTCGGTTTTAAGCAAATTAACCGATTAAATTAATTGAATTAACTGAAAATATTAAATATTAAATATATAATATATGTATATATATTATTCATAAATTTCGGTTAATTCGGTTAACCGAACAATTAATCAAACTTTATTGACTCGGTTAAAAATTTTCAAAAAAATTTTGATTCGATTAACGATTTTCAATTATTCAGTTTGATCAGTTTACGGAACCGACCGATTGAATACCCTGCCCAACATCCCTCGGTTTATCCATTATAAGACTATATAATAAAGTCGTGAACGTCCACACAGAAGAGGTCATGGGTGACGTTATCCTGATAAGCAATTTGCTGCTTCCGGGTAGAAACATTCAAACCTTTCATTTTCTCTAAGATATTAGGTTTTGACCACGTAGAAGCCTCCATGGAATATATACCACTGAACCTTCACTCTCTTATTCTCTTCTCAGTTCTCACCAACTGATATCTTGTGATACAATGTCTAGTCCTCCCGGTTCGATTCCCAACAGTCGACCCGTCGGGAGGCCAGTTCGAAGGCGAACAAGGGCCTCGAGGCGAACCCCTCCTACCTTGGTGAGCACGGATATCGAAAATTTCCGAGCCATGGTTCAACATTTCACTGGTGGACCTACTGCTTCGGCGGCGGGACCTCCTGTGCCGGGACCTCACCTTTGTGAACCGAGTCTCAGGTTTGGTTTCGGAGAACGGCAACAACACCATGTTAATGTTGGTAATTCCCTAATGGCTCCTCAGGTTGATGTGTCTTATTTGCAATATCAACAACAAATGGTGCCTCAATCCCAGCACGAAAACCAGGCCTAAATGTTCTCATTGAACAACTATAATCCAGGGGCAGGTAGCTTTTCCTTCAAAGACATGGGGGGACCCTAGGCAAATATATATGCACCAGTAATTACATATGTATGCAACATGGATTTTGTTTTATTTTACATATATTTAAATCAAAATTTGATGTGCATTATCTAATAAAAATATAATTACCATATATCCAAATTCATGTCATATTTTTATACTAAATCTAACTTCACGTATTAAATGGATTAAACCTTCTGATTTCGTTCGTCGGTGTTAATTTAAGTCTTATCTAAACCGTTTTAATTGCAATATTTTAAGTTTCTAATTATGAAATATTCCGTGAAAAGATTAAAGGGATGTAATTATTGTTGTAGGAGGAAGTTTTTAAAACGTTTTGTCTTATTATTTATTTTAGGTGTAGTTCTATCGACTAGAGATCTTTTTGAGGATTGTTTTACAAAGACATTCGGCTTAAATTCTAATAATTGAAGGCTTAACTTCGAATAATTTATATGTTAATGATAAATCGATATGAAATTATGACTTAACTTCGAATGATTCATATGCAAATGATGTTATATTTGATTGTATGTGGTTTGCTTGTTTAGATTTTGATGCATGTTGTATGTTTAAATTTCATGTATAGGAGTTACTTGTTGATTAAGGTATAAAATAGGGGTTTCTTGAGGCTTAAGATAATCAACTTGCAGAAAATATACATAGAATTTTGAATCTTGGTAAGTTAGCATTACAGTGAGTTTGATAGTTTCAAAACTTTACACCAAGTTTCGAAACTCATACGTAAGTTCTAAAACTCTATATTACAGTGTGTTTGTCACTTTTGAACCTTCACCTTACGTCTCCAAACTTCTTGTTTAAACTTTGAAAAATCATTAAATTGACTCATTTGATGAAATTGTTTATTTTGAACTTCATATTTTTGTTATGTCCATTATTATGATAATTTTGATAAGTTTGAGAGATTATTGTCTATTTTAGACCCAATTCGAATAAATTAAGTTTTGATAAATGTTCATATTTTTGTCCCATAAAAAAAGACATATTACGAGGACTTCTATAAAATTTAATCTTATGATTTGTTCTTGACATAATACCAAAATTTGTCTCAATGTTTATTAAAATGTTCATTTTGTTTCGTATTCTTTTTTTTCTAAAATTTTTTGTCCCCAACGTTTCATTTTAGGGCACACCTCCTCCTAAAGTTCGACCGAATAATCATTTTTCCTAGAGCATTTTGACCATCGACATTTCATTTTAGGATAAAAGTATTGGAAGATAGGGTGAATTACATTGATGGGTTTAATATTTATATTAAATTCAAAGTCCTTTGTAAATTAAATAATATTTATTTAATTTGAATAATAAAATGAGTGTATATGTTTAATTTTTAAATTTAAAAGATATTAGTATATGTTTAAATTTAGATATTAAAAGATATATGGTTAGAGTAAATCTCTCAGATTTAATATTTTAAATTGAAAAGATATTATTATATTTTTAAATTTAGATATTAAAAGATATTTAGATGAAGTAAAACTCTCTCGAAATTCCCCTATAAATATTGAGCAAACCTTTCAGTTTTTTCACATTTCAAAATTCAAGAAGTTTTCTTTCTCTTGAAAATATTTTCTCTCCTTCTTAGAAAATATTCTTCTCTCCCTTAGTTTTTTCAGTGATAATCGAAGGCAAGGAAAGTTTGTGATATTTACTGTTGTGCTACTGTAGTTGATCATCAAGTTGTCGTATCCTGGGAGACAGACGACCATAAGATCTCTAGCACCAAGGAGTGGCTGAAAATCTATCTTAAGGAAATTGTGTAGTGACATGTCTCAACTGATTCCAATCACAAGATCAAATATAAAAAGTATTTTATTTCCTTTTGATTCTCTTTTATTTATAAAGAATTTGATTCTTTCTTTTACTTTTTCTCAAGTTCCATTATTGTCTTGGATTGTTACTCACGGATAACAATCTTAAGACAAACTATTTCTCATATTCTACCTTTCTTGATCCGAGATAATTTGAAATTGTGGGAGAAACGAGATAGTAAACAAATTTGTTTTGGGATTTATCCTATCGTCTTAACGGGTTTACTAGAATTTGTGGAAAAATATGTGTAACAAAAATAGTTATAAAAGTAATTGTGGTTACTGACTTTGTTTCAAAATATTAATTATGTCCGATAACAAAATCTAAAATAAACGAGAATTAATTTTCTATTTATTGGAATCTTTGATCTCGTATTTGAAATCAATTGAGATTTTAATTATGTCACTTAACAGAATTATAAGATTTCTATTAATAGAAATCTTGGGAAGTAACGACTCTGTTACTGGTTTGTTTCAGAATTTTAGTTCATGACTAAAATTCTGTTGTTTGAATAAATCAAAAAATTAATTTTGGTTTATCGTTAGAATTATTTTGTGTTAAACAGAATAATAGGTAATCTCAGTGATTAACTAATTCGTGATTTGAAACGTTGATTTTAACTCAAACTTTGAATTTAAATTCAACGGTGTTGATGGTTGTAAGCCACAACAAGAAGCTTGTACAATTCTAAAGATAGAATTTCAAGATGTGATAACATAAGATGTTATTTTATTTGGCCATGGTGAATTTTACCAATTGTGAGGTGATCCTCCTATTATTGGAGATGATGAGGTAAATATTGTTACCATAATAAAATGCATAAGCATTAATCATGGACTTTTAATATAGAATATTAAATATGGCATGAATAAAGAATATCATTTGATATTTATAATTATTATAAGCTATTATAATAATTATGGCTAGTGTTTGGAAACATTGTACTATTAATTTATTTTGAGAATTTTATAGATACAAATAGATTTAGAGTTTAATTAAAGGCTCTTGAATACTGGTTTGTCAAAGTTAAAGGATTAGTTCCTTTTATTTTTTGTTCTTAATCAGAATGTGGTTGCCTTGATATATCTGTTTCGGAAGATATAACACTGAAAAAGAGAAATAAATTGTTAAATTTATTTCTCCTTAGAATCTTGTGTTGATTCTAACTTTAAAAAGGAAATAAATTGTTGAATTTATTTTCCTATTAATCTTATATGATTTTGTTTGGTAAAAGGAAATACAATGTCAAATTTATTTTCTTGGAAATCTAGATTGATTTCATCTTGTAGAAGAAAATAAATTGTTAAATTTATTTTTATAGAGTCTTGTATGATTCTATTTTATAAAAGAAATTAAATCGTTGGATTTATTCTTGAGAATCAAGTATGATTTTATCTTGTAAAAAGAAATAAATTGTTGACTTTATTTCTTGAACGTCTCAAATCAAAGCTTGGAAAATTGGTTTTCTAAGATGTAATCACATTTTCAAAGCCTTATTTGATGCATGTTATGAAGTGTACATTGTTTAAAATGGATAAAGAATTATGTATGATATTGAACCGTAACTACGAAATGGAAGATGCTGACACTAAGAAAATCTTAGTGGTCAAATTCTTAAAATTCGTAATAATGGAACAAATGAAGAAAAATAAATGTTTTTTTACCTCTAGTGATGATAGCAAAAGTATTGCTATGTGTATTTGCTAAAAGAACAAAAGCGATGTTATAGGGAAATTTGTTTTCTATTAACATGAAGTTGAAAACTAACTTAATAAAAAGATTAAGATGGTAAGAAGGGGTCGTGGTGGTGAATATGTTGAGTCATTCGGTGAATTTTGTTCACAAAATGGAATTATTCACAAAGTAACACCACCATATTCTCCTCAATCAAATAGAGCATCTGAGAGGAAAATCATACTTTAAAAGAAATGATGAATGCTTTGTTAGGCAACTTCTGGGTTATCACAGAACATGTGGGGGGAAGCTTTGCCGCTTGTGAAATCTAGAAGTACATCAAATGGATGTTAAAACAGATTTCCTTAATTGGAACATTGACGAAGAAATTTACATGGAACAAACTGAGAGTCATGTAGTTCTAGGTCAATAAAGGAAAGTTTGTAGGTTGGTGAAGTCTTTGTATGAACTTAAACAAGCACCAAAACAATGGCATGAGAAGTTTGATAGAGTCATGATGACAAACAACTTCAAGATAAATAAGTGTGACAAATGTGTATATGTCAAAACTACAAACATAAGATATATGATTCTATGCTTGATGACATACTCATTGTTGGGAGTAACAATGAAATGGTAAAACATACCAAATACATGTTAAATTCAAGATTTGGTCGATACGATTATAGCTATCCAAATTAAAAGGTCATTTGAAGGCCTTATTCTAACACAATCACACTTTATGGACAATATCCTTGAGAAATTTAACAAGGATGATTCTGGTATGGCTATAACTCGAATAGACTCATGAGTACATTTGTCTAAAAAAACAAGGTGAAAGTGTTCACCAGGTGGAATATGCAAGGGTCATAGGCAGCTTAATGTATCTCATAAGTTGTACGAGACCAGACATCACTTTTACTATGAGCAGTTTAATCAGATTCACGAGCAATCCAAGTGAAAATCAGCGGAAAGGGATAAAAAGGATATTGAGATATCTTAGATATACTTAAGATTATGGGTTTCATTATTCCAGAGATTCTGCGGTCTTAGAACGATACTCCGATGCTAGTTGGATATCTGATAATTAGGATGCCAAAGACACAAGTGGTTATGTATTCACTTTAGTAGGAGGAGCTGTGTCTTGTAAATCCTCAAGAAAAACGATTATAACTAGATCTTCAATGGACTCTGAGTTTGTAGCTCTAGATAAATTTGGATAAGAAGTATAATGGCTTCGAAACTTTTTTGAGGATATTCCAGAATGGCTTAAACCAATGCCCATAGTATGCATATACTGTGACAACCAAGCAACAATTGCTAGAGCACATATTTTAAGTATAATGGTAAACCGAGACATATGCATCGTCGACACAATACCATTAGACAATTGTTCTCAAATAGAGTTACCTCTATTGATTATGTAAAATCAAATGATAACA